TCAAATGTATGTAGTCTATTTCTGTGTCCAAAAACTCCAACATGTGATTGTCGATAGCATACGTGCCTAATATGGTGGCTTACCGCTGTCTTCATTTGTTTATGCCAAGCCCCATAGCCATTAGATTGATGAAATAAGGATGTTGATGGCTACGAATCCCCAAACTATTTTGCCCTCTTCGAAATGGTTGAAATTACAGAAAAATTTCATTTTTTGGTCAACTAATGAAATTATGGACGGTTTCCATCCATCTAGGCTTTAGATGCACATATTTGAAAGGTTTGAAATGTCGGAAGTAATAAATGAAATGTTAAGAAATAATTTACAACGTTTTGAAAGATTTGAGGGTGAAACTGCAATTATTCCAATCTAAAATGCACCAATATCGTTTAGCCATATTTGAAAATCTCCCAGAAGAGAATTCCAAAAGGCCCAACTTTTGGGCCAACAAATGCTTGCTGGCCTTAAAACCTTGGGCCACCTTGTGAGTCTTGCCCATATCACCGGTGGCTAATGAATTTAGAGGTATTATGGTAAATCATACCAAGTAAAACATGATCAACAAGACTCAGCACCCAAAAAAAATAATAAATAATAAATAATAATAATAATAATAATAATAATAATAATAATAATAATAATAATTCACATTTGAACACAATTACAAGCAAATAACAAGTTACATCGACCAATAAATTTTTTCTTGTACATTTTCTAATATGAATCCATATCTTCCTCAAGAGCACAAATGCCAAATTTTTTACAGGTCAAAGAAACAGCCTAAAATCAGTAACTATTTTCTTTTAAAAAAGAGAAGCCCATGGATTAGGCATAAACCATTGTCCCGAGAGAGACTACAAAGCACAATGTTATTGGTATTAATGTGTGTTGGCCTGAAATCAAGGAACACGATTAATTTTATATTACCATACAAACTTTTAGGAGTTTTAGTTTAAATACTATAATATGAAATGGGTTGGATATCTAGGGTTGACTCGTGACTCTAACATCTCTCTGGAATTCTTGGATCTTGGTCCCTCGCACTGGAGCAATTTTTTTATTACTTTGTTCTAACACAAAGCCATGAAATTTTGCAATATAATCTCATATTCAACGCCTTGTCCTAGTGCACGTCTCTCCTTGTATTTTAACAAGTATTATGGCACCATAATCTAGTATTACATATGAAAAATGTAATGATTGTTTTATTTATGCATATATACTTTTTATATAAGATAATGGTAACTCTTTTGCTACTTAGATTAATAAGATTTTATGGCACAACTGAAATTTTTTATCCCATGTAAATATACGAAACATTTATCCTTAAAATCAATTGTGCTGATGTCTTTGTTTGACGAGAATTTAAATTGCTCTCTTCTTGTACCTTCACTTAATAGATTGATATGATTAGTATCAATAAATCAAATTCATTGTGCTTTTCAATCATTCTAAATTTCTCGTGGTGTATTTGATATGTTTGATTGAATATCACAAGATATGATTAAGCAAAAAAATTAAAGCTTAAATTTTACTAGTTGTTCAATATAATACTGTCTAATCTTCCACATTAAATATTGCCTCGTGTCATTAGTAGAAATAAGGCATATTTAGAGATAGACTTAGGTGTGTAGATCTTAATAACATTAATTAAGAAAAAGAAACAAACAAGACCAATTGCCAATTACAATGTTAATTCCAACTTGTTAATTTTTTGGATCTTACTATATGTAAATCAAGATTCACATAAGTGATTACATAACGTCATATGACGTTCTATCATTTACTAGTTTAAAACACAATCTACTTTTTCATTCAATTTTTTTCTTTTACATCATTTTCGATAATCGCTTTCGTACTATTTTGAGGTACAAGTAGCAAAATTCTTTTTTTTTTTTTTTTTTTTTGGACAAATCAAAGCGAGCTTTTATGATATACTAATATTTATGATGTAAACACGAAAATAATTTCTTGAAAAGAGAAAAATAAAAGATAACAAATCGACTTAGTAATTGTGTTTAAGATAAGTAATGTTGACTTTATTAACTATTGATTCCCAATTTCCCATTCATCAAAACGCCGCACCCGTTGTTTCTGGGCCGGGGCGGGGGTTGACTTTTCAAGGCTCGCCACACGTGACTCCAGTTGTTATTGTTTGGGTCCCACATTTACCCAATTAATTTTACTGCTCCTATTTTTGACCGATCAAGTTTTCCTATTCAATGTGTGAGTTCTCTCCAACATTTCTACTACTGGTAAGCATTCTTTTCTCACAAATATTCCAATTTTGGAACCAAATTCAGGTTTGATTCATGGAAGGAACAAAGTTTTAATTCGATTCCAGTCCTATTTTTCTGTACTTTCTCAATTAAATTTACATGCATCTGTATGAATAAATATGTACTTAAAACAATCTTTACTTTTTTAAAGTAAAAATAACCAATGCTTTTGCTATTTGAAAAAAATAAAAATAAAAAATTAGGAAAGTGAAACCAAGAATTTTACATAACAATTTACCCTTTTTTTTGAAGCATAAAAAAAATCGGACCGATCTAAAATCGGCTAATTCCTGAGCAATTCAATTTCACGTGTTTTAGTCTCATCGACATTCAATTTTGTCCATTTCTCATTAAAAGTTAGAACGAGACTTTACCTTCATTCTTAATTCTCGTCCAAAACATTACTTTTTTTTTTCTTAAAGCTTAGAAATCAAGTTTTCTACTTTCTCAATTCTCCCATTACTACTCAAATTTATAGAATTTGACACAGTATATCTGAAATAAAATTCGCATCACTCCTTTAAAGAAAATGTGACGAGATAATCATTTTATGATATGAACGGAAATAAAATTATTGTATTAAAGAAAATGTTACTACCGAATTCAATATTGAAGCCTTCATAGCTATTTTGATGAAAATAGAATTCGATTAATCGTACTCAAAATTTAAAATTTGTTGACAATTGAAGCACACGTCAGTAGTGAAGAGGTTAATTGGGAGAATAAAGCTCTGTGTACAGAGCTTCATTTTACTGGGGTCTGTACCCCTCTCATGGGTTGGCCCCATGAGGGCCCCGAGGCAATGAAAAAAAAAAAAAAACTCGGACCTGGTGTCATGTGAAATCCTATAAAGGGTCCGTAAGTTGGGCATGTACGCCCAGCTCGATTTTAATTGGGATGGGCAATTTTCTGATCGCATAATCTTTGTTAGTTCAATTGACAGCTTACAGAAATCAGTCCCCAATGTGGCTGTGCTATTGGGATTAGGAAATCTGCCCCCATTGACCGTCCGACAACCTCTTAAAAATGGATCTCGTAACAAGTAAATTAAATCCAAGTCATTCTTTTGTTTCAACACTAATCAAATTCTTAATTATTCCATTTCAAATCCCAATGGATATTTCCCAGTTCACACGGCGCCAGAGTAGGTTTCCATAGTTGGATGTTGAAAATCTTGCGCAATTGGGATGAGAGTCAACTCCGCCATTACGTGTTTTTAAATCCTAGTAACAATCAGTCTTTTTCAGCACATCGCACGTTAGAGAAATCAAAACCCTACTACTGCTGTCAAATATAATAATCGATAAAAATACTTTACAGAGTAAAACATAAGCATAAATTTGCAGATTCTCGAATAGTATAACCTACTAAACTAAAATTGAGTATATGAACAAGCATGAAATGTTAGGATTTAGAGCGAAATAAGCTAACTTTAGTATGTAATGTCAAATTCAAATAGGAATCCGTTTTTTGAAAGATTTTTGCTTTCGTACTTTGGTGGGTCTCCGAGATCCTTTTAGTAAATAAGAAAGAAGATAAATGAAATAGTCTAAATTCAACCTTTTGTCTTAAAATAAAAAAAAAAATCTCTAAGCCTTAATGAAAGCTAGAAATATCGTCATACAAATAAAGGTAAGTGGTTACAACGAAAAGGCTTATAAGCTTGAAGAGCAGTGAGCGAGGAGGATTAGACATAAGAATAAACATACTTTTATCTTTTTTATTGAAGTTATCTAGTGGTATTTTTTAATCATACATATACAATCTTTGATTATAACTTCAACGAATTATTGCATGAGCTGAATTTAAGAATCTAGCAAAAATATTGCGAGTTTTAACATACACTGAAGTTTGAATCTTTTGACTCTCAAGTCGATCACAAACGAGGTATTACACTAGTGGGACTCGAATCAATACCAAGTTTCTCATTATGTTTCCATATTAAAAACAATAAATGAAGGTTCCAAAAAAGAATGAAATTTCTTTATTTCTACCATAATTAATACATGATATGCTTTAATTTAGAATTCATAAACACATGTCTCAAGGGTTGAATCTTGTGTTACACCCTCACATGCCCATTTGCTTGAACTTGTTTAATAATGTAAATATTAATTGCTGTCACTAAATGTGTAGGGTAACAGCCACTTAAATGATACTGATAGATTTTAATTCAATATGTCCAGCACTTAACTTTGCTGTCTAATTATTGCTTGTCAGAAAAATGTCTTAAGGGTTGAACTTGAAAAGTTGAAACTCCCATTTCCTTCTTTAGATTCCATTCAAATCATACCAGAATAAACTTAAAATTTCAATCGATCTAATAGTACTGTACATTAATCCCGTCAACTGTGAATCAACCTAATATTTCTAAGTACCATTTGATAGCAATTTTTCACTCCAAAAAATCAATTTTTTTTTATCATTATTTCACTATTCCAACATTCATTTTTTATTTTTTCTCTCACAGGTGGACTCACTTTTCTCTCTAATGATCAAACAACCAATTCTCATAATCACTACTGAACAGGCCCAAGTACATAAACCATATTGTGTTTTATTCTTCTTCATTATAGTGGAAACTTGAAACAAAGAGTGGACATTAAGCATAAACCACTAGAAATCTTAGTATACTTTGATGCTGGATTAATGCATTTCTGAGGATTACTGCTCTCAGAATAGGGATTAGTGTTTAATACATAACAGAACTTACAAACAAGATGATTCGAAAAGAATTTGCATTCCCATAAGTGAAGCAGTCACACACAAGTTTGAGCATACATCTCAAAATTTAGTTGAAAGTGGGATATTTTCCACACCTTCCAAAATTTAAAATGGATATTACAAAAGGACACTTGTAGCAGTCAAACTTTACAATGACAAAGATCAATTTCTTATCAGACTCCCCAAGTTGTCACTGCCTGAATCCCTTAAAATTGTTAGCCTTTTCGCGTTCTTCATAAAAGCACTGCAATAACACATCGATATAAACAACATTAAAATGCTAAGCAATTTACCAGTATTGTTCAAAATCAGGTTAAAAAGAGAATGATATAGCACGTTACCTGAAGGGTTCATCTCCGGCATTTTTAGTGGTGCCTGCAGCATTACTGTATAGCACGTTGCTCAACATTTCCGATTTTTCCATACCGAACATGGCTGCCAACTTTTTGTATAGTTCTTCATACGAGTGAAAAACTGATAAGTCAAGGGTCCGACCAATATCCTCGGACTCCATAAACACTTTACATTGTCCTGTCTCCAACCCGGACTCCAGTTTTTGATCTTTGAAGCGAGGAAACTCTTCATCCAAAGAGTTTTCTTGTGGAAAATTCTGAATTACTGCCGATCCAGATCCATTAGAGAGATTTGCTGTATTCTCTTGATTATCTAAAGAGCAGCTTTGAGAGATTTGCTGCTCTGTAAGAATTGGTTGACCAAACAAGAAAAATATAGGCTTTTTCATTCCATTCTCTGTCTTTAAATTTTGGGTAGAGTTTCCTACTGTCACCGGCAAGCAAGGTATTGAATCAAAGATGGGATTTTCCATGGGATATTCGAGTTTCTTTGACTCAAACAAGTGCAGTCCTGCCTGCAGATTTTTGAAGTGGAGATCCGGTGAAGATAATCGGAATTGAGCATGCCTGGCTCCCTGTATGCCAGCAGAAATATTGTGCCTTAAAAAACACGAGGGGCTGCTGAGACTGAGGGTGTTGCTAAGAAGTGATGGGACTGATAGTTGACCAACAAAGGGTAATTCTGGAGGATGTGGTAGCCGCGACCTCTTTCTTGGTGGGGAAAAAGGGGAGAGATGGATTGCGGGCATATTTGATACCAATTCAACTAACCATGGGTTGACTCGTTTCACATTTTGTAGTAGATCGGGTTCATCCCATGCTACCTGCAAATAAGTCATGAAAATAGCTGAGAAGATTGACAAATCCTTCTTGCCAATAATCCGAGAAATGACTTAACTCAGAGCACACAAGGAACTTTATTCTCAAATTTTCGGTTTCTTACAACACTAAAATATTTATGCAACCTTAAGACAGAAAAAGAGATAAATTACTAATTTAACTTAACTCTTGGGAAAATAACTTTGAATTCTTCACATATACAGATCAATGTTGAAAAAGGATAACGAAGCATACGATTAATGGAAGCTCAAGCACATAGATTGCAGGTAGAAAATAAAATTGCCGTGTAAGTAACTACCTGAAGAAGGCGCCAAGGAGAATTAGGCCAATGGATGGGGTCTTCGACCTGA